ATGGTCATTTGAGACTTTGTTTTTAGCTTAAGTATCTTCCTGAACTGGACTTCTTGAACTCTAACACAAAGAAGCTCACTGGAGTTTCAGTCTCTTACATAAGCCCCAATCACCCCTTGCCAGAATTACTGTTCCCATTTGGCTGGCAAATCCAGACAACTGTCTTCTACTTAGAAGCTTTCCCAACCAGAGGGAACGATAAACTATGTATGTTACCAGATTATAGTAACATAACGATAAAATTCTACCTTTGGTTTTACCTCTGCTAAAATCCTAATACTTTATTCAACATAAAATTTCCTTTCCTGTTTGCTTCCATTTCTCCACAATTCTTCATTCTAATACCAGTAACTTAGAAGTACGGAGGAGGCAGTAGTTTTTCAAACATGAAACCCTACTGCCACTGATCCCTGCCTCAACAAGTCCTACTGGTTGGAGTGTGGCATTTGTGTGTTTCAAGTATGTGTGGATATGTTAAAGATTGAGAGCACCTAAGCTAATTAGTTAGAATACCACATGAAAGAAAGGCCATTATTCTTTTTCAAAATACTATTAAAATTACCCCAATCATGACATTTGTAAGTCTACTCTTATGTTTCATTTGATTTTGAGTTTTGATTGCCTGGTAAGTCGATTGCTTTTTAATTTCAGCATTTTCAAATCTATCTTAAAATTTTATGCTGTTTTGTGTGTCTTTTCTCTTTCATCCTTTTTTTTGCCTGAGTTTACAAAGCAGACTTGGAAGTTGGCTTAACTCATAAGGTTCTTTGGAAATATTTTGTACAAATTCTCTCGTGTTGCCCAATGGCTTAAAAAGTCCTCATTTATTCTCTGCTATTGATGATGAGAACTATGGTATTCTGTGAATCAAATTCTCTCTAAGTTGAATCTTTGCTTCAAGAGACAAGTTATGAATACATTTAGACAAAGTAGGTAAAATATATTTATAATTTGATTTCATTATAATATCCTCCCAAAGGTGTGTTTTTGGTACCTTAGTAACTAGGTTTTACTGTATGAGATATTGACAAATTTGGCTAGTTAGGCAACATACCTTGAAAATAGAGATCTTTTATTACTCTTGACATTATGTCATGTCTATTACTATGCTTTTAATTAAGACTTAATTTTTTTCTTTAATATTCAAATTATTGCTTATTTAAAACAATAAAATGATTTCTAGATCATTTCTGGATCAATATTGCTTCATATCACTATCTTAATTGTTATTTTGTCACATTTTTCCTGTTTGGGGGACTTAAGTGGTTGTAGTACTTTGTAATTAGTATTTAGGGGAATAATTGTTGGGACTCACAGCCAGAAGAGCAATTTTTTCATATATAACTATAGGAAACAAAGTGACATGGCATAGGCATGATTGCACCTAGAGGCTCAAGCAGTATCTTCAGGGCTTTCTAGCTCTACTTCTTGGCTCTGCTTCCTTTAGATTATTGGCTTCATTCTCTCTTCCTGCAAACTCAGGTAGTGGGACAGATGGTGGCTGTGGCCCTGGGCCTGTACCATCTCGGTGACTCCAGGAAAGAGAGCTTCATTCCCAGTATCTGTATTAAGCCTCAGAGAAGGACTATGATTAGCTCAATTTGAGTAACATGTCTTTCTGGATAAGTCACTATGTCCTGGGGCATGGGGTACTATGATTACCTAGGCCTGGCAGAGAATCCTCCCGTACAGCTAGCTGACTTACATACTCTGGTAGGCAAGCTAAAATACCATGTCCACTTAGGCAAGTGCGACTGAGGATAGACTGTGTTTAGCCTTATAAGTCATTGAAGTATTCAGCAGATTTGCATTTTGAAACTCTGACTCCAATGTAGACTGAATTAGAGGTTTGGGAGATTACCAGTTAGAAGGTTATTGCTCTAATTTAGGCAGGAGGTAGTAGTACCTTGGCTTGGGACAGTGGCAGTGAAAAGAGAATTGGATAGATTTTAGAGAGATAGTTAAAAAGTACAATTCATAAAAGTTGAGGCAAATTGCATATGAAAAATGATTTTTTTAAAAAAGTGTCAGATTTAAGATTATTTAAGATAATACCAAGTACTTACACTGGCTGTCAAATCAAAATAATTATGATCTCTTTGTAAACTCTCAATTACAGAAATTGTTTAACTTATTTGCTACAGATCGAGTTTTGGTGCGAGTTAGTGATTTGACAGTACAAAAAGCTGATGAAGTTGTTTGGGTGCGTGCAAGGGTTCATACAAGCAGAGCTAAAGGTAAGAATGATTTAATGACTAAAGCCCTTTTGGTAAGGACTCTGAGTTTTTTGTTTTGAGTGTATTTCACATACCAAAGTAAATCTTTCAAAACAAAACAAACACCTGTTTTCATTCTTAAATCACTGTAAAGTATTGGTCCATGGTTAATTAGTTTTAGGTTCTTATAAGACATCCTGAAATATAATTTGGCCTTAAAGACTCAGATGAAGTCTCAGACTTTAAATTAAGGTACTATTCTAGCATTTCTCAAAAGTTTAATTTTTTTAAGTGAGTGTTTTTGAGAAGCTTTTCATTTGTTAATATTCTTATATTTGTAATAGTTGGATAAGGAGAGCAGTGGAAGAGAGATAGGCTAAAACTGGGTTGTCCAATACAGTAGCCTCTGGCTACTTGTAGTTATTTAAATTTAAATTTAAATTTAAATTCAACAGCTCAGTCACTAGCTGTGTTTTGAGTGCCTAATAACCAGAATGGCTAGTGGCTCCCATATTAGCACAAATACAGAATATTTTTATCATTGTAGAAACTTCTATTGGACAGTACTAAGAATTTAGCATTAACAACAGAGAAGAAAGAAAAGGATATTTTAGGCAAACCTCAGTTCCTTATGGGAAATTGTCCTAGTTAGTGTTCAGAATTATCTTAAAATATTAATGACATGTTAGTTTATAACTTTATCCCTTTCACACACTATTTCACATTTGATGATTCCTACAAATTTATGAAGTAGGCAGAACAGGCATTGCTATTCCACTTTATAAATGAGGAGGTTTATCAGAATGATAAACCTACTTGTCAAAGTTCTCATAGTAATTGGTGGATTCTGAACAAAATCCAGAAGCTTTTTAAGATACCCTCTGTCTCCTTAACAGAATTAATTGCTTCTATAGTATTTAATACATTTTGTGTTATAGCATTTCTTACATTCTGTTTTAAAATAATTATAGAATTAATATAGGCCCATTATTTTAAAATCCCAGCATTTTATACATCTGTCCCACTCTCTCAGGATCACTACTATTAAAAGTTGGTCTGTTCTACCAATATTCTCCCCCTAAGTAGATGACTACTAGTAGATTTTGAAAACACTGGTGGAGTTTTAACTTTTAAAAAAAAATGCTGATTTTTCATTCCTAAAAGGTTAGGCCATTTATTCTACCAGGAGATAAATCACACTGTATTGTAATCCTTCACTTACTTGTCTTTCTCCTGTTTCTGGGTCCTTTGTTCTGTCCAAAGTGGGCACTTTGTTTCCTAAACATAGTCATTTAGCAAATTAAAAGATAGAATGCATGCTACATGTAAGGCTGAACCAAGAATACTTCTCTTCACACCCATCCCCAAAATGGAACAGTTTGAATATCAATAAGGATAACTGCAGTGAATTGAAACATATCAGATATGTTTAAATCCATAAGTTTATAATAATGCTAAGACAAACAAAACCTAGTTGGTCACCAATGGAACAGCTCATTATTTTGAAAACTGATAAATAAAGTATTATTTCTGTATAAATTGTATATCACTGACTAACCTAATAGTAGATGTGGGGAAGTGTCCATTTTTTTTTACTTTTCAAGGAAGTATCTCTTTAGAGCACTATTCCAGCTAATAAAATGAAAAAAGAGTGTTAGAACATCACCATTTTGCCCCTGGTAAATTATCTGAGCATTGTTCATCATTGATTGCTAACAACACAATAGAGAGACAGCCTGAAATATTTTATGTTTATTCGTGGAAGAATACAGCACCGTCCAATAAAGTAGTCTTGCCTAAAAATGTATACCTGAATCTCATTAAGCCTTTAGATCTAACCAATTTACGGGAAAACATAGGACGAGGCAGCATGTTAAATAACAATGGGTATGCAATCAACAAAATTTAGACTAGAAAACTACTGGGCAACAACCACTGGTCTCTTTAACAAATAAATTGAAAGATGAGGGGGAACCTGTGGATTAAAACAGACTTAAGATATCTCTGTACTCATTACTTATTTGTAATCCTCGAACATTGACTATTTGGTGTTTAAAATGTATTCATTTTTTAGTTAAGATAATAGTACTGTGGTAACATTTTTTAAAAGTTCTTATCTCTTAGGGATCCATTCCTGATTATGTATGGATGAAATAATATAGCTGGAATTTGCTTCAAAATAGTACAGGAATTGAGGGATAAGTGGATTGGGGTAAAAGCTGAGACAAGAATGACCATGAGTTGATAATTATTAAAGTACATGAGGATTGTAGGTAGACATTGGTATCATTTACAAATAATCATCATTTTGTCCTTTCAAATGTTTTATCTCATTTCTTGTTTCTCTTTGCAATAATTAGTAGATTCTCCCAGTACTGCAGGGATTCCCACAAGGAAGGATTTTTCACACAGCAAAGATTTAAACTCTTGATGAATTATTTTATGATTTTAGGTGTTTTGTATAAAATATCATTAAAAAGCAATGCCCTAGTTTAAAAAGTAAATCAAATAAGTTTTCCTCTAGTCCAAGTTTTCTGTTATCAGAAGTAGATGTTAAATTTTACCAGACCTTTTCCAGCAGTTTTTTCCCTCAAAATATAATTACATTGAGTGTATATATCTAAAGGTTCATTATATTGTTCTCTCTGCTTTTATGTTTGAAATTTTTCATATAATAAAAAACATAGTTGATCTTCATTTTTTATGGATTGTGTACTTATAGTTACATATTCACCTACTTGCTAAATTTTTTTTGTAACCCCAAAATCAATACATGCAGCGCTTGCACTGTCATTCACAGATATGGCAGACACGCATTTGTGCAGAGTAGCAAAAAATTTGAATTGCCCAGTGCACACATTCCCGGCTGAGGTCAAACATAGTGAAACTTTGCCTTGTATCAGCTCTCATCAACAGGTGTCCTTTTCACAATCTGTTTAATGCCACGTTCTTCAGTTTTGTGCTTTTTGTTGGTGATTTGGCTGTTGAAAATGGCCCCCAAGCATAGGGCTGAAGTGTTTTCTACTGTTTCTAACAACAAGAAAGGCTGTAATATGCCTTACAGAGAAAATACCTGTGTTAGATAAGCTTCGTTCAAGCATGAGATATAGTGCTCTGACTATGAACCAGCTCTGTATGTTAAATAAGGTGTCTTTAAACAGAAACACATAAAACAAGGTTATGTATTAGTTGACTGATGAAAATATTATGACCAGAGGCTCCCAGGAACCTAACCGTATATTTTCCCTAGGAGCAGTGGTCCAATATTTGCTAATTCATTGTTTGTGGAGGCTTTGTAGAACATAACTACCACAAACAATAAGAATCAACTATATGTAATTGTAAAGATTTACAATAACAGATTTCTTAATGTTGAATCTTTTGTCAATGGACTCTTGAAATAAATGAATTTGATGAGTTTCAAAAAAATTTCTTTTTTGCAATTTTACAATAATCTAGTATTCATAATTTTTCATTGGAAAATCTTATTTTGTTAAGTTTATGGATGTGTATGTTTAAGTTGTAACTTAACCCAAGTAATATGTTAATATTTCACGTGAATTTTTCAAAGAATACAGAAATACTTTTTTCTTCTCCACTGCTTATCCTCTGCCTCAACCTTTTCTAAATAATTTGTTCAGTGTCTTTCAGAAAATCTTTCTTTTTAATGCATGTATGTGCATACATGCATGCACTCACAGTTTTTTATTTGTGTAAGTTTTAATTTGTTTTATGTAGATGACATCATATTTTACATGTTATTCTGTAACTTTAAAAATTTTCAGTGAACAGTTTTTCTTGGAGATTCTTCCATAATACTAGTTACAGATCTATAAAGCAGTGTATATCTGAGATAGATATCTAGAAGTGAAATTACTGTGTTGAAGGATATGCATATGCATATTTAAAATTTCTAATACCAGATTACCCTTCAATAGAGCTATCTTCAGTTAAAATACCACAAGTATGTGGTGATGGTACCACTTTCCCCACATCCTTGCAGTAGTGATTGTCAATATTTTGATTTCTGATAAATTATCAAAAATAAAATAAAATCTTATGCTTTGAATTTGCAAAACCCCAATTGCTGCTATTCCTTTCTTCCCATAAATTACTAGGAAAAAGTATGTCAATAAATAAGACTTACTTGGAATTATTCATGTGCTTTAACTCTAGAAATAATAACACATTAAAAGTGGGCTTATAAAAACAAACCATGCTAGCAATTTCAAGTAGAGCAAACCTTTGAAAAACCATAAATAAGGAAATGGAAGTGTCAAAATCATAGTGTCAAAAGTATGACAACTAGAATCCTATTATGCAAAAAAAAAAAGCTTTATAACAAATATCTATTTTTTTCTTAGAGGACAGTGTGTTATACCTTTTTAAAAATTAAAATCATTTCTTACAGTAAGTTCATATATCAGATTCCTAAAATCAAGTGTTTTATATAGGAGCAAGGAGACATTTTTAACTGATTGATACATTTAAACTTAGTTTCTTTAGATTGTGAAAATTTATGAGCTTAAAGTCTGCATATTAAAAGAGTAATTGAAATATCAGTGGTTCCTTTCAAATTTTATACATGCTGCATGGAAGGCATAAAATAATTCTCTTTCAATACTCTTTTTCCTAAAAACTTAACTTATACTTCAAAAATAGGTCATCTATTTTGGTAATCAGATAGTTTAGGATTTCTAATACCAAAGGTCAGAACCTCAACTTACATTCATGCAAGAATATTTCAGAGGAAATAACAAATGGATAGTACTTAAAACATTAAAATCTTTGCTGCTTTATTCTCTAACCTATTAACATAAATGATGAAAAAATGTTAATGTTCAGAATTAGGAAGTTAAGGTACATTATCTAAATAATGTATTAAGGAGCTTGGCAAACTAAAAAACAGTAGGAAGAGATCAAAACATAAGATTGCCTCACATTTTTGATAACCAGGTTCTACAAAGGCCCATTTCATTAGGAGCCATCACCATGATGGAGATGAGAGTTAACTTTTTGTCCTGACTATCTACCATGTTTGTTCTTCAGCTCAGAAATAAAGATTGTACCTGGTGCTCTAAAAGTTTTCCAACTTTACATTTTTCTAAAACAGGATGCCTGTGTAAATTAAAGGGCAAAAGTGCTTCTTCTAAAAACTTAAGAATCAAAATACAACACAAATTTTTACCTGTAAAGGACTTAAATTTAAAATGTCTAGAAATAGTGAATTCATTCAGCCGTTTTGAACATATAAACTCCCTCTTGGTTGGAGAGTTCCAAGAAAGATAGTAGTTAGCAGTTGATTGATCTATCATATAAAGTTTCTATACTAACTTATGTAGTAAGAACTTTTTGCCAAACTGAGAAATTATGTATTTGTTTCTTAGAATAAAAAAGATATAGTAAAAATAAAAATCCTTATAGTTCAGAAAGATAAAAAATGAAAAATAGAAATCTCACAATTCTAAATCCTTCATCCCATCACAACCTCTTCCCCTCCAAAAATAACCTCTATTGTTTATTGTGGGTCCTTCAAGGAAAAATAAAATGTATTTACAAGGATGGTATATCTTTTCTTTTTTTAAATTTACATAAAAAGGGTTATACAAACGCTGTTCCTTATTATCACTCACCAGTGTCTATAAAATAGTAGCTTGCAAAACACTGAACTAAGGAGATAATGCAGTGCAGTGTATTACCAACCAGAGCCCAAGAAAGAACAGTTTATTTAGTAACACCTGGCAAGAACATGATCTCAAAAGTACTTGGCGGAAGTAGTCTGAGCAGACAACCAGTAGCAGGAAACCAGTACTAATTTTTTTGTTGTTGTTTTGTTTTGAGTCTTTTAAAAAAATTTTTTTGAGTGGACCATCAAGGTTCTAGTGTTAAAAGTGCTTTGAACACAGAAAGTTTGTAGATTATGGCATTGGAGTCATACGTAGATCTGTTCCACTGGTGAAGACTGTATAAATATGAAGTGATAATAGAACTTCAGTCTTTTTATATAAATAATACTGTATGAACATCTTTGTCACTAGACTTTTCCATACTTAATTTCCTTAACATATATTCTAAGAAATGTATTTCTTGAGACTAAGATAACCTTTTTAAGCTGTTTAATGCCCATTGCCAAATTGTTCTCCGAAAGCATTGTGCAAGTTTACCTTGCCATTAGCAAGTTATGAAGGAACGTTTTTCACTTAATTCTCCCAAACATTGGATAATATTACATATTTTTTAATTTTTGTTAATTTGAGAGGTAAATAATATGTCATTATTGTTTGCTTCAACTTGCGTTACTTTCGTTTCCAGTAACATTTTTTTCCTTAATAGGGTTTTATTCTTTTTCTTTCAGATGATCTGTTCAAGTCCATTGCCCATTTATCTATTGGGATTTCAGTATTTGTACTCATAAATTTTTAAGATCTTTATGTATTAAAGATATTAACTCATTTAAGTTATATGTCATTAAGCAAATTTTTTTAGTGTTTTCTTTTAATTTTTTGTATATAGACATTCTATAATTTTTAAACTTAGAAAGTTCTCTCATTTTTTACTCAGTTTTTTATTTGTTGTTGTTTTTTTTTAAACTCCTGAATTCCATGTTAGAATTAGAATCTCTTCTCTGCTTGGGTCTGTTCTCAGTTCTCTCCATTATGCTCCATTGATCTAGTTGTTTTTGTGTTCATACATTTTTACTCACTGTAAGTTTATAATATAATATGCTCATGGTACTGGTCTTACTCTTTCACCCCCTTCCTCCCATCTGTTGGCTTTTAAAAAAGAAGGTTTAGTTTTTAGAATTATATACAATAAATACATTAAACGCAAAAAGAGAACAGTGAATATTCTTCACTTCACCCATAACCATTGATTTAATGACTTTTTTTCCCTAGCAGGCATGTCAGATCTTGGGGAGTGCATTTGTTTCTATGTTTAGCCTACTAGAACTTTCAGGTTCTCCTTACTGCTTGTGTTGAATCTTGAACATGAAAACTTCCTTTCAGCCCTTATCTTTTTCTGGGTACTTAACCTCTCTGATTGTATAATTCTTTAAAAAAATTTTTTTTGATTGGAAAAGTAGTACATGCTTATTGTAGAAAGTTTAGAAAATACAGAAAAATACAAAGAACAGAACAATTCCCTGTAATTTCACCATCTGTTAGTAGCTACATTTTGGTGGGGGGTTTTTTCCTACACATTTTTAATATACTTTTTACACAAAATTAGGATTGTATTCTATATATGGTTTTATCACTTTTTTCCCACATATTAGTCTATTATGAGTGTTTAACAAATGTTTATCTTGTGTTCCAAGTACCTGGCATAGTTTTTGCACATAGTAATTCATCCGTGAAATGGGGATATTAGTCAGTCCTCAAATAAGTAACCAATGGTAGTGCTGCTATTAATAATAGTAATAATAATATAGTTAATATTTAATATTCATAATTAATACTGAGTATCACAACTCTATATTACTTATATAATTATCAAGATTATGTAAGAAACCCCAGGAAAACCTCCTGAGTTATGTACTGTTATTTTTTCCATTTGGCAGATGAAGAACTGAGGCATAATGTGGTTTGATAACTTTCTCACAGGCTCCTTCATAGGAAGTGATAGGATATGATCTTAAATCCTTTTATTTCAAAACCTTTACTCTTTACCAAACCCTTACACTAAAATGTTACCCGTCTAGTGCTGACTCAGAACCATTTTCCTGTGTGTTCTCTAGAGCTCTTCATTCTCTCTCACAGTCTTTTTGTATAACATTAGAGTTTCTTGCAAGATGGCTTTATAATGCAGCTGAGTTTGCTGCCTCTGTCTGTACTAATACAGCAGCTAAAATACTTAGTAAATCATGCACATTACCTTCCACTTCATACTAACATTCTGTTCTAAGTGGGCTAATATCTGGCTGTGGTTTCAGTAGTTCCTGGGATATTGTCATTTTGATCCATATGCAGATTTCTCTAATTTTATCAATCTTTATCCATTTAGTATCTTAAAATCTCTTTGAATGTGTTATGTACATGTAACTTTCTTTTTAAAAATTTTACTTTGTGACTGGATCATACTCCAGAGAAGGGAAAATTAGTGTATTTAGCAGCAGAAACATGTAAATCATATATGACTTGGAAGTCCATAGATAATGTTTATGTTAGCACTTTGTTTGCAACCTGTCCTTTTTTTTTAACTCATGATTGCTCTCTGATTTGCATTTCAAAATACTGTGTGTTAAAAGTAATAACTATAAGTCTGCTTTCATTTTTGCTTTCTTTTTTTTTTTTTGGCAAGGCTAATTCTCGGTATAAAAGATAATTCTCAGTTTAAAAACCAAAATCATCTTTTGATGTTTTACAAGAGGCTGATGAGAAAAGTGGTCTCGAAAAGATTTATCTTGTTTTATGAGGAAGCAGTTTTCCAAAACTTGACCAGAGACTTAAAAAGGATCTACTTTGAAGGAAAGGGCTGTCACAAGGATTCATAGTGACTGAAATCTATCATGAATAAGTTTTCAGAAGATTAAGAAATGATGATGATTCCTTATGAAAGGAAGGGGAAATCGAGAGGCCCAGAATATGTATAAAACTGGTTATAGGGCATGAAAAGAACAATCTTTCATGGACAAAATAAGTTATTTGGAGTAAAAAAATTTTGAACTATTATAATGAGTGATTAAGAAGACAATAAAGGAAGAATGAAGAAAATAGAACATGAAAGAAACTAGCCTATCCTTCTAAATGCTCTTTAAAATGTACTTTGGTAGGAAGTAAAATGGACCACCCCCATAGAATGCTTGTGTTCTTATTACTAAGCTCTTTATTAGTACTTTTGTGGTTGCATTGTTGAATCTCCCATAGCACAGTGCCTTTGTAGAATATGCTAGCTATTGAACGAATGTTGAAAGTGATCTGGTTACTAGAAATTTGTTTAATAAATAAGTGCAATGACATTATCTTAATATACAATTTTTTAAAAATTAATGATTTGCTTGTATTCTCATAACAAACATGTTAAAAGCATTTTTTGTTACTCATAGTAGGAACTTGGGTTTCTTTGAAGCTTGTGATTTGAGTTCGAGTATTTGGGCTGTGGAAGCCGGATACACATGTATGTACATGCTTGATGATTGTAGTAAATTTTGACCCAATTTTAAAGTAGAGAAGCATTTTCCTTCTTTGTAAAACCTGAAAGAGCTTGTCTTTAATACATTTGTGTACTTTCTGTCTTACTCAGGGAAGCAGTGTTTCTTAGTCCTCCGTCAGCAGCAGTTTAACGTCCAGGCTCTTGTGGCAGTGGGAGACCATGCGAGCAAGCAGATGGTTAAATTTGCTGCCAAGTAAGTAAGCAATTATATCCTGTTGTCAGAGTAAACAATGGTGGGAACCAAGACTCCCAGGGGTTTGGACCATTTTCATACATTAACATCAATGCTTCGTTTGTTTAAAAATGTAGTTATTTAAATTGTCAGTTCAGTGTTGCTGAATACATTAAACTTACAAAAGAGAAAATATGGAGCACAGGCTTGAAATTCATTTGGAACTGCTGAAGCAGCACTCTCTACAGACAAGTCACATTTACTTTCAAGTAGAGTAACAAAAAGCCTGGCAGCCTCAACACAGCAGAAGAACTTTATTTTGTTGTGTTTGTTGAGCTTCATGTCCTCCCTCCCTCCCTCCCCCAGTTTGGGATTTGCATATTAAGCAACAAGTTTTCTAACTGAATAATATAAGTGTATAAAATAAAAGAATGTAGTTTTGCAAATGATTCTCTCCTGAAGGAAGTAAAACAGATGTCATAATATATTACAACTTTTAACTTCGACACCAAAAGGGTTCAATTTGTAAGAGGCAGGATGTAGAGATAGTGTAGTGTTTGTACATGCTGTAGCTCTAAGGTAATAATTGCTGATGTGGCTAGTTTTGTTTGTATGTTTTTCTCAATTTAATTGAAATTTTATCTCCACGATCAAAGACTTGGAAAAAGGACAATTTTTACATTTTAAGTAAGAGAGTACTTCATAGGCATAAATGTTTTTTAAGAGAAATTCAATCTAGAGTGAATGCTATATTCTATTGATTTTTATCTCTGTTTGTTAGACGTAGGCTTTCAAAGATGAGTTAATATAGATAGAATTGTCAATTTGAGAACTAGAAAGGTACTAAAAAAATTATCTAATTTAACAGCCTAATTTATATTTGGGCCCTCCCTTCCTGGCCCCCAGTGCACTGGTTTTGGTTTAGAGATGTATTTATCAAATTTAGTTTTATTATATCATAACAGTACTTGCACTCTGGTTTAAAAGCTCCAGTGCCATTAATTATATCAATTCACTGATGAACTCAGTGCTATTAATACTATTAGCACAGTAGCCCACCCCTCCCTATTTCCCAGTCCTGTTGCCCAGAGACTGTCACTTTCATCTTTTCTACCTGTATCTTTTGGTAATTAGGCTTGCTAATGTAGTTTTTTATCTCATACTCTATAAAGGTTTGTGCTTGTGGGATGCATTTGTCATCTAGCCTTTTAAGACCAATCTATATCCAATGAAGTAGGACATAAATAAGCTTGGTCTCTAGAATATATAAACTTTACACAGAGAACCTTCTAATAAGAGCCTCTGAAAACCACAGACATGTATGCTAAATTATATTTAATATACTGGGAGAAAAAATACTAGGAGAAGGTCAGCTTCAACTCAAACAACCTTAATGGCTTTTGTCTTATTTATTGATTGGTTCTGAAAACTAATATGTGAAGATGGTAGTATTACATAGAACATAATTTTCCATTAAATTGCATTATAAACTCAGTGTTACATTCCTAAAGAAAAAATTCTAGTCTAAAAATCTTGAAAATCCCACTTACTCTTAATATTTACTAACAGACATAATGTTGACGAGAGGACAGTCAATTCATTTGATGCCTTTAGAAGTAGTCACATTAAAGTCATCCATAAATAGTTTTGGTTTTTTTTGTTTGTTTGGGTTTTTTGGGGTTTTTTGGATCTTCTCAGAAACTCCTGGGACTTAACTAACAACAGTTGACTATATCAGATGCAATCAACAGTTGACCAATCAAAGCTCTAGCTGGAAGAGCTACTTGCAAATGATCTGTCAAACAGAACTTAGTTCACTAATGCCCTCATGATATATAAAGTAAGGAAAAGGCTTTCATCTAAATAGGATAATATAAGGGTGAGCTTTCTCTTAGGCAAGGGAAGAATTCAGATCATTTAGCTTGTATTTCTTAATCCTGAAGTGGAACTCAACCAAGATCTAGTTGTAATTCAGGCTGAACAATTAAGTTGTGAGTTGGATTTTTTTTAAAAAGCATTAGAACATCTAGCTATTTTCAGTCCCTTAAAAAAACTGGACTTTATATAATTAGTGTGGGAAAAGACTGTTTCATAAGGGAGCTATTGCAGATTATAAAGCTTTTGACTGGTTATTTGTAAGTGAATGGGGCCAATTTTATACAATAAGCTTAACATGTGGTGCTTAGGTTATAATTATTTAACTTTTGGCACTAATATGTTAAGGTATCTACCCTGAGTAATTAAAAGTAAATATAAATGTGTTAGTAGCTTTTGCTGCCTTGTAAAAAAGGAAAATTCTCTTGACTAAGATTCTGTGGTGAAAAATTATGACTTTTTCGTTTTGTGATTGGTCGATAATTTTCTTAGAAACAATTTCATGCTCTGGATAGGTCAGTCAGCATGTCTTTATGTTGATTTTAGACTATACTTGTTTGTAAGGCAGTTCAGAAACCTTGGTCTGTCTTGGTAATAGAAGTCTAAAACACATGTCCTTTGACAGAAAGCCAATAGTATGATTTTGTATTCAAAGTACCAATTTTTAAAGAAAAAATTGAAGAATAGAAAAATTTTACTTTGAAAATGACCTGCTGTATGAATAATAATAAATCGAGTGAAGCTGTAATATAAATTCTAAAGAACTTTCAGAACTTAGGAAAACGATGTGTTGTGTTTTTTTCCTTCAGCCTTCAAAAAATCCTTCAAAATCCTTTTCCTAAACATTTATTGGCTAGGCCTAACATAAATAGTGTGTTTTATTTAAAATGGGAGTGCATTGGCTCTACTGTGAAAAAGTTTATGGTAGTTTCATATGTTTATCTTTGAGGTCACTTGCTGTGGCAGTGCTGTTTGGTGAGCTGGCACTTCTATAAAGCAAGAATTTAAGGTATAAGGTTATATTGTTAAAGCATAAATAACAATAAAAAAATTCCTCTATTTGACATTGACAGATAAAAAGTAAGCACTTTTTTTTAATTTGCTGCGATCTAACTATATGAACTTATCGTTATACCATACTACAAAATCTTTAACTGAAGCTCACATGGACTTGCTGCGTTTTGAAGGATAATCCAGTTTTCAGATATGGCACTAGAATGATAGTAATACTATAATTATTTACTGAAATTTAAAAAAACATTTGAGAGTATAGTTTTCTATTTGTCTAAATGAGTTTTCCAAGATTTTTGGCTTCAATTTTCTTTTCTCTTTTTAGTGTTGTTTTTTTTATCATTTCTGCCACATGTTAATTGAGTTAGAACAAAATAGTCCAATCATTTATTAAACTAATATTTACTGATAGATACAGGCTCTTTCTATTCCTTCCTTTAGTTCATACTTACCAGAAGTTTCTTTTTAAGTACTGTTTTCATCTAAAATCTATAATGACTTTCTATTTCCAATCAGGTCCAATTTAAATTCTGCCTGCTGGTTCCCTCATACAATATTATTTTACACTACTTCCCAATATACACTCTTCAGATTGGGTAGATTCAGCATATCTGCAATGACCTCCCTTTTTACTTTACTTATTTTAAAGGCTTTGACTTATTCATTAAATCCTCATTCTTTGCCACTTAGCTTAAGCCCATGTCCTTCATGATCCTCATTAATTGGTTTCTCTTTCCATTTCTTTAGAGTCACAGATATGTTCTTAGGAGGCTGGAAGTTTTCTATATTTTTTAATTTTTAGTGTACATTTTGAATATAAAGTTATATAAGAGTATTAATCTTTATCATTTTAAAAGCTAACTTAGAGAATTGCTGTGTGAACTTAGTACTTCCATTTAGCATTTACTATCATATTTATAATTGTGCTCATGCCAGCTGAAGCCAAATGATATCCATGTTCCATACAAATAAAGATTTCACTGTGTTTGACACATGCTGTGAACGAGTTGGGTTACTGGGTGATACTGGAAAGTTAAGAGGCACCCTGAAGTTGTAAAAGCCTATGCCATTTAAACAGATTTATTGAATCCTATTTTTATCTATAGGGGCAAAAGAATCACTAACAGTATAATAGTTTCCATGCAAGGAAAACTGTTTCTAGTTCCAGTTTTAGTAGTTATCAGATTAGATATCTATTTGATTAAAATTTCTGTTAACAATGTTACATTATTAACTTTCACATGAACAAGATGGTTTTATGAAATTATTGGCTGATAATTTAAATTGTCATTTTTGGATTGCACTTTCAGAATTTTGGTTAATTATGAGTCCTTATTATCCTGAACCTGTTTTATGTAATTGTGAACATGTATTCTTCACATTGCTAGTTTTAAAGTGAAAATATAGAAACGTTAAATATAGGACTGGATCCAAGGCTACAGCTTTATACAGTTAACCAAATGTCAGCAATTTAGTTTTAGCAAACTTTAATAATGTTCATTTGAATTTTGTTTTTTTATATTTGTTTTTATTTTGTTTAAAAATTCATTTTGATATAAAGTTAAGGGCTGTAAGTATAAGACATTTATACTAGTTTTGTGTTTGTAGATATTTAAGTAACATAACAAAACTAAGTGTTTACTGAGGGTTCCTGACATTTTTTGTTCCACTAAACAGAACCCATGCAGCAGTTTGAGAACCACTGGTCTAAGTCATATTGAGTAGTGCTTAATTCTTACCAAGCTTAATTTGAACTTAAAATTCTTGGGGTTTTGGTGAAGAAAAATAAGTTCACAAAATAAGTCATAGAACTGCTGAGATGATTTAAACCTTTAATTTTCACAAAGCACCAATAGGCAGGCTGAGTGTAATAGAGGACCAGAATGCCTAGAGGCTTGATTCCCCACGAACTAGCCATGTGACTTCATAAATTGTTTATTTTATGCTAGTTTTAGTCTGACTTTATTCTTTAGAGCTAAGACCCTTTAAACATCTTTATTTTTACTTGCCTGGGAAATGTTAAAGTCTAAGATTGAGTGTGGTACTAATTCACTATAATTGGCATGTGAAACAAGCTTGTGCCTGCCTTAGAATTGGGATATAAATTTTTGTTATCAAAAGATGATTTATTCTTT